CTTCATGTTCATCTGACCTTCATCAACTCTGGGATCAACCTGATGGAAGAAACACAAACATCTATGCAGAATGAACCAAAGTCTCTCCATCAGACAGCTGTAGACCGGGCCTTACAGAGTCCAAATGGACACCTGGACTTGTTCCTCCGCTTCCTCCTGGGACTTTCACTGCAGACCAATCAGAGACTCCTAAAAGGTCTGCTGACACAGACAGGAAGTAGCTCCCAGACCAATCAGAAAACAGTTCAGTACATCAAGAAGAAGATTAGTGAGAATGTGTCTGCAGAGAAAAGCATCAATCTGTTCCACTGTCTGAATGAACTGAAGGATCGTTCTCTGGTGCAGGAGATCCAACGGTCTCTGAGTTCAAGGCGTCTCTCTAAATATAAACTGTCTCCTGCTCAGTGGTCAGCTCTGGGTTTCATCTTAGTCACATCAGGAAAAGATCTGGATGTTTTTGAGCTGAAGAAATACTTAGCTTCAGAGGAGGTTCTTCTGAGGCTGCTGCCAGTGGTTAAAGCCTCCAACAAAGCTCTGTAAGGACACTGATTGTTACTGTACTTATTTTTCATAGTGATTAATATGTTAATGCTGCAGTAAATATGGATTTATGTTGTTTCAGTTTATCTGATGAACCACATATGCCACAATAACAGCTGAAATCTGACAGTTTGAATTCCTTAAAAGTAATACCTGAAACCTGTCTATGATTGTTAAGGCTCGGTCGTTAAGGTATTATTCACTGGCTGGAGCTGTCATGATTTCACTAAAGTTCAGACCCAAATGCTGAAGACGAAACAGGGAGACCAGGAGAAAAGGTTTAACAGGTTTTATTGAAGAGATAATGCAGAGAGAAGTGTTGCTCTGAACACTGCTCAACCGGAACTGAAAAGTGAGGGGAAGACACAGCGATTAGTTCAGGCTCAGTGGGAAATTTGATTTGTGAACTTGAAGAAGAGGATCTGGTTGCTGACTCACGTTTCCAGAGAAGTTGTTGAATATTTGACTCCTGTCTGTGTGCTGTGGTTCCAGTGTTTTTTCTGATTCGGTGGAGGGCAGAACAGGGTTTACCCAGAATGCGGTTGTTTGTAGGTGAACGGAGAAACTGACTGCCACTCAGATTTCCTGCGGTACTTGAACAAGTCGTAGTGGAGAATAATCCCTTTCTCAGTGTGAAGCTTAAATGATCTCTTAGGGAAAGTGGGTCCAAACCTCCTGTTTGAACCCCAGCTCAGCTTGAAGCTCTGTTGATTCTTCCAGGGAGAGAAGGTCAGAAAAATCCAGTTTGCAGGATGATTTTCTGCTGAGAGGCGTGGAGAATGTCAGCATTACTGGTGCACAGATGCCTTCCCACAGAGGGGGCAGTGTGGCTAACATCTGTGTCTCATTGTGACACATCCAAATAATGTCACCCAAAGGGGCGGATCCCCCTGCCATGCTCAGTATTCGATATTGAGATACACTTGAAGGTTGGAACTCATAGATGACATGACCCCCATCTGGTATTACTTGTTCACAATGTATGGTAGCTTTTGAACTAGTTTTACAAAACTTAATATGCCGGGTGGAATTTCCATCCTCAGTTGGTGGGAACCATGTTCTGTTACTACATGTCACCAGTCTATCTGCTGTCCACATTTTGCCAGAGTTCCTTCTAGTCACTTCTTC